AAATTCTCTACGGTACTTTTATATATTTAAAAGATTTTGGAACTGTTTTTATTTTTGTTTTTTGTTTTTTAAAATATTTGACCATTTGATTTAGAATTGTTTGATTTTTAACATGTTTATATTTTTCATTTCAATATATATTTTCATAAAATTCTTAATATATATACGAAATGTTTGAATTTAGTAAAAATATTTTTGATATATTATGAGTTATGATAAGTTAAAAAGTTTTTATATTTGTGTACAAATTATAATGGACAAATTGAATAAAAAATTTACAAAATCTCTTTCAACTTCAGCAAATAAAATCCTATTGTGTTCTTCTCGAAGTTATTTTAATTTTATAAAATGATTTAAAATTTTTGGACCAATATTTGATAAAAAGAAATAATAAATTAATTACTTAGATTAATAACACATCACTTAGTCTAGAAAAAAAAATGACATTTTACGTCATGTTTATTAGTTTAAAAAATTGACTATTTCAAAATATTTCAATTTATAAGGGTACGGCAGTAACTTCCTCTATTTCTCTTTCTCTCTCTATATATATAAACATAGTTGATAATTGAAATTAGTTTGAATCTAAGACTACTCATTATTGAACCTAATTGCTTAATTAGGAACTATTTTGGTACACGAACACCAACCCACGTATAAACCATACATATACGATATATAGTATCTCCCACTTGGATATGATCGCATAATTTTGTTCACGAGATAATATTAATTTAGAGAAGTAATTTTGCGATGTATATATGCATGCGTAACAGCGTTTAGGAGTTTGGAAAATAAGATACTTGTCGGGATTGTGTTGTAGTGGATTTCAACTAACTCGATCGATCACTTGAATTGTTAAGCATGGATGATCGAAAACGGTTTGTCTTAATGTGAGAATTGCTCTCCCAATCTATATTTTGTTAAGATTTTATCATTAAATGATGTGAAATTTTCAATAAAGTTCCTTAAGAAATAAATATCTTGAATTTATAAAACTGAATATTTATAAATAATTTGATAACTAATGACACAATGATAACAATAATCAATAATCTCTAACATATAGATTTTAATAACATTTTAAGAAAATAAAATAGGATGTAATTTAATTTTACAAAAACTAATTTATAAAACAAAGATTACTTCTTACTTGTATATAGTTGATATAAGATCATCATGAAATGTATATATAAGACATATAAAAAAGAAGATGATGTGGAAAATAATAAGAATTGCAATGATAAGAAGAGTGGGAATAATGTAGGTTGTGTGTATAAGAATAGTGAATACGTGGGGTGTGGGCTTAAATTAGAATAAAATGATGAATAAATGGCATGTGGTAGAGAAGAGAAGATCATCTCTAGATCTGCAGTTAATATGGTGAATCTTAATGCATATTAGAGAACGTGACATATGACGACTGTGCGGCGACTTCGGCCTGTAGGGTTGAGACAAGTATCAAACAAAGGTCTCAACAGATTTTTTATTTTTATTTTTTATATTGATGGAGTCGTAGTTGTGGACTTGTTACTAGCTGCAGAACTTTTTCTACCCTGATAAATTCCAACATGATTGGCTGGAAAGCATCCAAATTGATCTCTTTGTTCAATAAAAATTAGTAATTATAATCCTCATGCTCCATCAGTCTTCCAATTCCTATATGCAGATGACAAAACCCTTATCTCTAGCTACCCATCTATGGCAGAAACAATAAGGGCTACCTATATAGCTAACTTTTGTCTTTTCTTCAATATAATTGCTTCCAGAATACATTTAATTATAATTCAACAAGTTGCAACAATAAGCTAAGTTATATTTGTTGGATCCCTTTTCTTCTCTAGCAAAGAAAATAGCAACTTTGGATTTCTCAATATATATCATTAATGGGGGTATACGATTATATATTTTATTTTTAAAATATAAAAACTAAAATAAGAGATGAAAAAATAGAAGTTAAATATAAAATAAATAAATAAATATATATATATATATATAGAAAGAGAGAGAATCAATAAAATAGGATATAAGCAATTTGTAATGTCATTGAAAATCTGTATAAATCTAAACTTATATGGATCATATCTTATTCTAATATATATATATTATAATCTAAAATTATAATAATTTTAATGAAAGATTAAAATCATGCAATCATAATAGTTTAAAGATTAAAAGTGTTCAATTAAAACATAAAAAAAAATTAAAACCATATGATTATAATATTTGAAGAGTCAAAACGTAATTAAGTCAATAATTTATGTATTTATATGTATATAATATATTATGGTATTTTAGATATATACATATGAAACATAAAATAGTTTTGAGTTAATTTAAAGTGAGTATAATCATATATATTTAGTGTATTGTTGGTTTAGCGGAAAAATCATTTGATTAGTGATGACATGATTGAAACTTTAATATTTGACTAAATTTAAGATATTTAGTTATTAAAGTAAAATAATATTTAATTGAGAAACAATAGAGGAAGTTACAAAAATAACATATTCACATAAGGTGATGGTGACGATAATAATAGTGGTGTGAATAATAATAATAATAATAACTATGACAATAACAATAACAATTTATGGTGGTTGTCATGAAATGGCAATAATAATAATCTTATAAAACAAAAGTTTATAATTGAGTTTAAATATATACAATTAATTACATTTATTTATAATTTAAAGAATATTATTTTGTCTTATCATCTTTCATAATAAAATATATTTTACACTCTTCTTTATTTCAAAAGTTATTAAAATACACACACACACATATATATATATATATATATATATATATTAATTTAATAACTAACATGAATTAAAATAAATTATTACAGGTCTAATTAAGTATTTTAATTTGTCAAAAAAGATAGAGAAAGAAAAAGGATCCACTTACTTCAAAAGTCTACTTAAACTTAAAAGTTTTTAATATATCGATCAAGTTTGTAAAATTTTTTGAAATTAAAAAATATTTGATACTTCGATTGATTAATTCAAATTGATAGATAATCATAAAAATATTTTTAATATTAATTTAAATTAATGAAACGGAGTATCAAATAATTTTTAAATTTTTTAAATCTTTATAAATTTGATTTATGTATATTAAAAACTTTTAATTTAACAGTTGGATCGTTAATATTTAATATAAAACATGAGTTATTGAATGAAATAAATATACGTAGACTTATTTTCGGAGTTAGTGGATCAATCATGTGTGTGTATATATATATATATAAAAGGAGAACTCAAATGACATTAGTATAACTTTTATTAACTTTTAATTAAATGTGAATATTTCAAAACTTAATCAATGTTAGATTAAAAGTTTCTTACTCATATATCATATATTCAAATTTTTGTAATAATTCAAGATGATTTGATATCTTATTTTTATAGAATAAAATTATAATATATACATTTCAAAATATACGAAAATATGAATAATTTAATTACCTTTGAATTGTTATTCAATTTTAAAGAAACTTTATATAAATATACAAAGGATATAAAGTTATAATTCAAGTGTTAGATTGACAAAATTTATATTTAATATAAATTATATAACAATGTAATAGTTGATAAAAATTACACCGATATCATTTGAACATTTTTTCATATTATATATATATATATATATAGATATAGATAAAAAAAAAAAAGAAAAAAGAATAATACTATACATAGACACTAAAACTCATTTCGGTAATACACATTCAAAATCAATTACATTAACAACACTTTTTTAACCTTTGTTATGCAAACAAAAATTACATTATTTA